CGGTGTATAGCATCATGGTAGGAAAAGCCATCACTGTGCCGAAATTGGAGGTCACAGGTCAAAGGTCAATGGGCACAGGGCAGATTTTAGACATTTTCTGAGGACATGGTCTGACGGAGCGATTGAAAAACTTTTTTGTTTCAGCGGTGACCTAGCATTTTTATGGCTTTATTGAAAGGACCATGAAATGTACTTTCCAGTGACATGCGAAGAGTAAGTGTCGGATAACCTTTTGACCCTCAAGAGGGTTAAACATGGATTTGTTTACTGTTAGAAAGAATTTGACTGCCGGGTTTGCTAGTATAATCTAGACTATATATATATGCCTGGATGTATGAGGCTACAATGTCACAGTGAAATTTCCAAAGCTAAATTTGGTTGAAGAAGGTTTATGCTCCTTAAATCGTATAATTTCTATGGCATTCTGTACTGTCAGTGTGTTACATGTAACTTATGCCACTGCCAGTGCATGTGCATGGTGGTGATAGTACTGTGTAGTTTTTCCCTGCGTTAATTAGTTACAGGTGGCAGCTCTCTATTTCGGCCTGTAGGCTTGCGTAGGTAAATGGATCTGTGCTTACCTATTCTGTCTTGCAAATAGTTGTTGCTATTTGTACGTACGATGGGAGCTTCCATCTTTAATCTTAAGACACTTAAACGTACGCGCCATCTCGTGGCAACTTTCATAACGATCCCAACGAACATTTCTTCGAGAAGGTTCCTGATACCATCTCTGTGCCTTCCACTGTTTCGGCGCGTATGACACGTTATGTGAACACATTTGGGACTAACAGGGTTTACTAGAATCTCACCACTCCACCACAGAGTCACCGCAGTAGACGGGAGATGAGCGCTGTCGCTCCGCGACACTTGTTATAAATAACATGTTGGTGGCGTTACAATGTGTATGGTTGGCGGAAAATATGGTGTGTGTTTGTAAACCGACATATGGTTGGACTAAATTGACAAACCGTACACCATACCTGGGCGGCTGTTTGTAGTCTCATGCTGCGTGAATGTGTTTACCCTGTGCGTGGTCCTGTGAATGCCCTGCGATGTTAGGTGGCAGCACCGAGCATTACAACGCAGCGGTTATATTACGCCGGTTAGCCGTATGCTGAACTCGCTGCCTGAATGCCCGTGTTGTCGACCCCGTTGGCGAGTTTGTACTGAAGGGGGTTATAATTAGCCTGCAGGGTGTTTATCGTGTTGTTTTGGACCCAGGTTTGAGAAAAGGAATACTTGTTTATTGCGTATCTATGTCATTGGAAAATGGAAATGCAATAAAAGTTTGTAAGATGTAACATGTTTTCTCTCTCTCTCTTCCCCTGACTTACCTATTTTACTTGTCCTGCCCAATCATATTTCCTCTTTCATTTCCGCTAATTTCCCCACCTTCATCCTGACGCCAAGTTCTCAGAGGAAGTATTTATGTATTTACGCATATTAGTTTGTGTAGTGTGGAATGTATTACATCTATAGAAATTTTTCTGCATAAGCTTAGCATTACAATTAAATTGTTATTTGCACCACACCTTCAGCGCCAGGCCTGTGGGGCCATCATTACTGTGTCAAGGTAGGAAAACGAGCCAGCTTGTTATTAGTAATATTACTATTATGTCCTTATATAATTGAACCCACCAAAATTGTAGTAATGTAGCATCAGAAGAGATTTGTATACTTCACAGCAAAAGTAATGAATATTCATAACATTTTGCTGTCCCGTATTTTTCATCAACGTTTTTTGATTAATAGTTAGAAATGTATATTTGATCTGTGTTGTCTTCATAGTAAGTTAATAATAGGTAATGGTTAGTAGTAGTAATACTAATAACAAGTGATTACTTACCTCTAATTTACCTAATTTACTAGTATTGCGCATTTATTAGTGTGTCTGACAGTGCATAGTGTGTGTGCGTGCGTGCGTGCGTGCGTGCGTGCGTGCGTGCGTGCGTGCGTGCGTGCGTGCGTGCGTGCGTACGTTCATTGGATGTAGGTAGGAACACTATGTGTGTGTGCGTGCGTGCGTGCGTGCGTGCGTGCGTGCGTGCGTGCGTGCGTGCGTGCGTGCGTGCGTGCGTGCGTACGTTCATTGGATGTAGGTAGGAACACTACAAATAAGTTGTAATTATTCCATCTGTGCTTGTGTTTAGTGTTGACATAAATTAGAAATATTTAAATATAGTGGTATCAACGTATGCAATGTACGTATTTACATCTTCGTGCAAACCATGAAATACAATGTGTTTCTCGGAACCTATTCAGCCCTCAGGCCATACACTCAGCTCAGGCTACAACTGTTCATTAGCATTTAGGTTTATTTTCTCGTTTTCTAGGTAGTTCCTGTTCTAGTTCAAGCCTATTCGTTTTACCTTCTATTAAAACCGTCTGTAAAACGGCCTTCGTGTTTCAAATCACCTGGTGGTGACGTACGTCGATGGTTTGTGCATGCCTTAAAATATAGTAAAGCTTAGGCTAACTGTAGCTCCAGGCGTCGCGACTGTCTCGCTGAATAACGTCACGTGAAGTAACATGTCGTCACGGCCTGTCACCGTTCGACTGCATGGTAGGTTTATATGTGTGATAAATATGTAATGTGAAGTAAATATTCGAGAACATCTAGTCAAGCAACTCTGTTCCTATATCTTTGATACGACTTAAATTGACTACGTCACGAATTTTCTACGGTGTATATTAAAAAAAAAACATTTTTTGGCATTAAAACTAAGTACTAACGGGACTAAACGTATCGTCAAATTCTTACCTAATAAGATTGTTTTTCAACTACTACTAGTTAAAAATCCAAAAAACCTGGACGATTTGATATTATCAGGAGTAGATAAAGGGATATTCCCTTTATCTACTCCTGATATTATGATCCTGACATTAATTGCTTGCTATGGGCTATGTATGAGTCACGAGTGTATGTTTACATCGAACATTATAGCAAAATAGGAAGTATGACGCAGCAATTTAACCATAAAAAGTGAACAGAATTAATTACATTTTGTGAAAACGTGGAAATATTTTTTTAATTTTTACTATTTACTGTGACGTAATAACTAATTAAATTTGTGCTGCTTCTTTATCTGAACTGTTGGTATATTGTGTGCTAGTAAGTTGATAGAATTAATTCCTTTCATCAGGAGTGAATAATAATAGTAAATAATAATAATAATTATTATTATTTACTCCTGATTTCATTCTGTCACATAATGCTAATAAGAAGCATGAATGTTCAGGCTAAAACTCTCAACTGCCAGTGTTAACCACAGTGATTAGCTTGGTTGCAAGCAAATCACAGGTTGGTTCCTCACATTGGAAAGCAGCCATGACAACTCTCCTCTCCACCACCCTGTCCCACTTCGTTCTCTTGCTCCCTCTCAATGTTAAACATTTTCGTGTCCCTACTTTTAAATACTCCCTCTTCCACTCGCCTGCCCTTTTCCCTTCTCACGCCACCTCCCATGTCCTCACTCTCCCCTGCCTTACTCTGCCTTCCTCTCCCCGTCTTTCTGTTTAATTCCTTTCATCTTCGCTTCGTGCGCTCCCTCGCCCCTGGCTGTTTCTCCCAACTGAAATGTTTAGAATAGCTGTGGAGATGCTCGAGGCCCAGAGGAAACGGGGTCATGACGTCACGTCAGATGATCGCACTGGTGGTTGTGTTGTTTATTTCTGCGCGTCGCGCCGCTCACACGTCACGGCCAGCATAAAGACGAACCGGCGGTGCGTGCGCGCGAGCGGGCAGAGAGGGAAGAACCGTCCGTGCAGTGAGAGTGCTTGTAATATTCGTCCATGTGAGTGCGCGATCAGTTTATCGGTGACAGGCCGATTACGGCGTCTACCAACCACCGATAACTCTAGCTGACATTGTGACGCGTCGGCTGGTAGGACTTCGATAGAATTGACGAGAAGAGGATCGCGATTAACGAAGAGAAGAGACGTGCTTGCTCGGTCGAAGGAATTATTACATTTTTGGGAGTTCTTTCAAGGTACGATGCCGGTGGATTCAGTTTTTTTTCGCAATTTGTTTTAAATAAATTGCTCCAATGGCTTGGTGCAACGCAATTTGTAAACCCTGTTTGCAGCATGCAGAGTCCTTATCCTAGGTTTCAGTGTGCATACTAAAATGCTGTGCGTTCAGTGATTTATGCATGCTTACGTCTGTAAATGCATGCTTATACGCATGCTACTATATGCTTATACTACATGCTTGCACGCATGTAAATGCATGCTTACGTCTGTAAACGCTGCTAATAGCACTTAGTGCTATATATAGTGTTTGCACAACTTCGGGGTAGAGGTGACGAGAGCAAAGCTCGGTAGGGTGCAAGTTTGCCGTGTGTAAATTTGAGACTATTAGCAATGAACAACTAGGATAGAGACATGCTATGTGCTATGTTAGTTAGTATTAGTGCATTGGTGCATCGGTACCTGCATGATCGAGTAATTGCATGTCTCGATGTGATATCGTGCACGTAGGCACACACTAATTATTGTGATCAATGGAACAACAACAACTTGGTCCACGATATTCAATCATATGCAGTTATGATATCATAACAGTTATTGTAAACAGGTTCGTGTTATGGTATTGGTAAGTCATATCTCTGCTTCTGAGGGATACCTTGAAATCTGTTAGACTGTAAGTGACATTATATATTAGATTTCATGAAATGTAAATATAATAAGTTCCTAAAACAGTGTAAGCATCGCGTGATCCCCACTATCTAGACATCACATAGCTTTTACATACAATTAGATTTTGGCGTTCCTTATTTACACGTGTGGGGCAAGAACTTCACTTTCTTGTAACCTACACACGTCGACCCTTTCTGGAGATACTGACATAGGTTTCTCTATACCGGGGTCTAGCAGGAGCCGGCGTGGCACCCAGCCAACCTTTCAGCAATTCCCTCGTCTATGTATAGCCACCCGCATGTTTGCTTTCCACAAAATGCGGCCAAGCAACCCTCAGCATCAGGCCACAGTCGCCATGTTCAGTGCAATCGAGTGTGTATATATATGCGTGCGCGTGCGTGTTCGTATGTGCGTACCTACAAGTCTGTATTATTTTTAGCCGAGTGCATGTCTGGTGGCCACCATGCAGAGCTGGGGAAGTAGATGAAGCACATAGTTCGTAGAGAGTTAGTTGCGCTGCTAGGGTCTATGTCTCCCTGTGTACTGCCGGAACGTACCCTGGGTACGGTCCGGTATACCGGAACGTACCCTGGTAACTATCTGATATGGTTAGGGTTAGGGTTAGGGTTAGGGTTAGGGAGTAGGCATACTGGCGTAGGCAAGGTACGGTCCGGCATTGTAGATAGTACCAGGGTACGTTCCGGTACACCGTACCATACCCAGGGTACGTTCCGG